GGCGGAGTTTGCGCCTGAGACCCTCTGGGCTTAAGGGTTTGTCTGAAAAGCATAAATTGAGGTTCAGCAGGTGGATAAAGATGGTTCCTGATGCAGACGAGCTTCGTTCAGTTAATGTCGTTCTCATCTGAATGCTGTGAGGCGTTCATGACCACATTGGATATAAGAGTCACATTTGAATGAATCAGACTCTGAGAAAAAGACATTCAGCTCCTGCTTTATGCTAACGTGGTTTTATGTCTTCGCAGCGTCGGAGCTGATTGACGAGCCGGTTTCTGCCGATGTGAACAGCTCTGTGTCAGAGGAGCGGCGTGATGGAGAGGAGCGACCCGGGGAGGGAGAGCAGCGACCCGAGGACGCGCCGCCAGCGGCGGTGGAGGCTCTGGCCCGCAGGATGACGGCGCCGGAACTGAGCCTTTGCTCCCCGCAGCAGCTGGTGGAGATGCACGAGCAGCTGGGAGGCATGATGAGGGCGGTGGTGGTGGAGCTGCAGACACGTCTGTGTGGCGCCGGCGACAAACACTGAGCAGCACCGCGGGACGCCGCACCAACACAGACTGAGGAAATTGCAATAGACAAATGAAGTTTTTCCTTCTGGATCTTAATGGGATTTTAAGATTTCCTGGATTGTTTTTAATCAGTTCGTTTCCTGGTAGACGGTAGAATTTCCAAAGACTTTAAACTTACTGCCTACATCTGTCTCTGCATGAGCTTTAGCTTCTGCTAAAGAATTCTGTCATGAAGCGATGGAGGACGTTTACAGCCTGATTCTTGTAAATACCGGTGGGCTGATTTCAGACCCGCCTGGGGCGACGCTTCCTGTTCTACGCATCTTCGCTCATTTGTCTCGATGCCTTTTTATTGTTTTAACAGACTGATCCACAGTGTTTGCTGTCAGCTTCATGTTTGGGTTTTAATCTTCTAAATAAAAGAATTTCCAGACTTTTAGATTGGTCCCTTCATGGAAAAGATCAGCGTGCAGAATTCCAGGCCGAATGCTCCGGATCTCAGCGCTACAGGTGATGCATGCGTCGGTGTTGAGGAGCGGCTGAATGTCGGACTTCCTGTCCGTCAGGAAGAAAGATGTTGCGACGACTCAGAAAAGTCGAGAACTGAGCGAAATCAGATGTCTATTTTTCTAATGAACCCATTAGGTTTTTCAGAAGTAGTCCAAATAGGGGGTTTTCAGGTGACGTCACGCTCACGTGACTACTCAGCGCGTCCGCCATATTGGGTGGCAGCCTTAGGC